CTGCACCCTGACTGGCTCGTCTCCTTCCCCTGACCCTTCTGTAAGGGGATGTCCAATTGCCTACAGATGAGCCTTGGGTCTCCACTCCGTACTCCCCCTCATTCACAATGATTTTTTTGTTCTTTGATGCCTGATCCCTGATCTCTTTGACACCTCATGATCATACAGGCTGGTGTGCTTCTTTCATGTGGGCTTTGTTGTTTCTCAACGAGATGGGTGCTTGTCTATCTGCAAGCCCTGAAGACCCCAGATCTATATCTTTTGATAGCTGGGCACCTACAGCTTTCTATCAGACCAGTAGGTCTGGTCTTTGTGATGATTGTGAATTGTGTTCTACATTTTTCTCCCACTCTGTGCAGGACCTTCCACTGTGATGCTGATCAGAATCGTCAGTGCGGCAGCCTGGGAACATTGGTTCTTCCTGCCTAGCGGGGTCTGTGACTTGAGTGACCATTAGTTCTTTAGACTGTTCCTGTGAACCGTTGATCCCTTCATTCTTCTCTGCTCTGCATGGAGAAGAGACCAATAGTTGTGTCTTAGATGATCTCTCACAAGTTGTAAGACCCCCGTAACAAGTCACCAGAGTAGGGTGTAGAACACTGCCTTTGTGTACTGCCAGGTGACTGCCCTGGCTTCCTCCTGAGACTACGATTCTAAGTTCCCAAACCCAGTGACTCGGTTCCTCAAGGTATTTGGTTATGGCTAAGACGTTTTCATAACTTTGCCCCTGTATGCTCTACTACATGAATGTATTTACAGCATGTACAAATATATGGGGAAAATATACCCTGCCATTTTTAAATGTACACTCCTGGGTATAATCCCATACACCATCCCACACCTGTTCATTTTGCTTATCTACCTATGTATCCATTCATGTTATTGTCTGATGTTACTGTTACTGCAGTATTGTGCATATCAGCAGTTCTCAATCTGTGAGTCGCAGCCCCTTTCGGGGTCGAACGACCCTTTCACAGGGGTCGCCTGATTCATAACAGTAGCAAAATTACAGTGATGAAGTAGCAACGAAAATAATTTTATGGTTGGGAGGGTCACCGCAACATGAGGAACTGTATTAAAGGGTCTTGGCATTAGGAAGGTTGAGAACCGTTGGTGTATATAGTAGTATTTGCCACTGTTGCCTTTTACTCCCGATATCGCCTAGTGTAAGGTGACCAGACGTCCGCTTTTGGCAGACAGTCCCGATTTTTGGTGTTTTTAAAAAGTCCTGATTTTTGGAAAGAATGCAAGACAAGCTAGGGAACGGTCTATTTGGTCCATATAGACCAAATCAAGAAGCACCCCCCCCACACCCACACCCCCACCAATGGTGTCCCGGTCTTCTTTTGTCTTATTTATGCTGCCCAATATTGTCTACTACCTTTCTCTTCACCAAAGTTATTACATGTCTGTTCTCTATTTAGTGGTGTTCCCTACGTGCCTCTAGCCATCAAAAAGTGTTTCCTCCTTATAGTAGTGGTCTTGTTAGGTAGTCTAGCTTAGGGACCAGGCGTCCATTACACACGCTCAGAGGTTCAGGTTTCCGGCCAGGAAAGGGAGGTACACCTGGGTGGGCACTGCACATGGACTGGCCCACGTAGGCCAGGTGAATTCAATTCTGCCAATGGGGTCGACCAAGGTCGTCCACCATGCCTCCCCGCGGAATAATTGAAAAGGCTGGAGCCTGGAGCCGATGGCGAGACTTCCCTAGTGAGGAGTGAGGAGCCCTGCGGGTGCCTGTGTAAACCTAAAACTTCTCTCATAAAACTCACTTGGATCACAAACCAGGCTTCAGCGTGAATTCTTCTCACGCGGAGCCAAGGACAGAGGTATATCTCTACCGTGAGAGCTGTAGCAGTCTCATGTATTTGACCTAATGTAATAGACTTATTCCATACAGCATTTCTTCCAAATTTATTCTTATAATGTTACACAGTATTCCATTATATGTAGTTTGTTTATATTCCACTATACAGAGTTTATCCATTCCAACACTGTTGGGCACTTGGGCTGCTACCATCTTTTTGCCATTGTGACGAGCACTGTAGTGAACGTGAGTGTGCTTTATACAATTGATGTATGTATGGATTGTGATAGGAGCTGTATGAGCCC